TCTCTTCTTTCACGCCCTTAGGCCTTTGGCAAACCACTCTACTTTTTCCATCTATCTCTTTCTTTCTTTCTTTCTTCCTTTCCTTTTTCTTTTTTTTTTCTTTCTTTCTTTACCTTTTCTTCTTAACCGTAGATACCACCACCCCCTCATCTATACAGGGGGTAGTACGCTTTGTAGTCGTTCTCTTCACACTTATAATAGATAGATAGATAGATAGATAGATAGGTATGTGTGTGTGTTGTGTATGTATGTGTTTCTATGTGATACATTTGGTTTTAGTCGAATGGAGGCCAGTTCCAGGTCCCCAGTCCCCACGGGAAAGCTAGATAAAGGGGTTTGCTGAGTTGGTAAGCGACACTCTCTGACAAGGAGACAACTATCCGTTTAACAAAGGGGCTAACCTGCTCCAAGAACATCGATGTCACCAATGTACTGATCGAACATAATGATCTCTACCTCACCTATATATATATCGAGTATATATATATACAATATATAGGTGTATTTGATGTTAGATAGGCACAAACAATGACACCTCTTACTGTATTTAATTGCTCGATATTCCTTTAATTACATCAACAAATAATATGATCGACCAATAATTGTTTCCGTCTTATATAAATTGTAATAATAAAAGAGGGAAAATATTTTGTTGAATTTCTTTTATTTCCATCGAATATTTTAATTTGTAGATATAAAGAAAATGAACCAATCAAAATAATATTAACAGACTGATCCTAGGAATGATTTTATCCAACGAATTTGTATGTATTACAATCTTCTTTGGTTAAAGTTAATCGTGGCTTATAAACTTAAGCTGATCTTTTATTGCCACTCAGATTAAACCTTTCCAGAGATTTCTGAAACTCTCTCTCTCTCTCTCTCTCTTTCTCTTTTTCACCACTACAAACTAATTGCCAGTCAACACTAGTTACTAATGCGAGAGAGATAGTGATATATGTAGTTATAAGCACACTAATTATTTCGATGACAGAAATTCCAATGGATCTCTCGTTGTTTGCATAGATTCTGGCTCTTCCCTTTATCCTCCAACTCCCTCAATTCTCTTCTCCCACCCTTCAGCTTCCTTATTCCTTCCCAAAAATTCATGCATAAAGATGAAGTCGTTGGTTACTAACAACAAAAACGAGACACGAGAACGAATACGAAGAAAATACGAGATATGAAATAAATTATTCATAGAAATTGTTTATTTCTTTTAATATATATATATATATAAAAAAAAAGAAAAAAAGGGGGAAGATGTTTTCTTAAATTTTTATGAAAAATTACCTACTCGTCGAAATGTGACGTTAAAAATATTGTCGAATATTTCTATACTAATTTGAAGTGTATCAGTAATTATGCAAATTAATCTAACCATTCTTATTCCGTTTCTCTCTCTTTTTTTTTCTTTTTTGTAGTTTTCATTCCACCGCAACGGATTCGAGCCCGTTATCTTCTACCTTTTCTCACCCTCTTTCCTTTCACCCTCCAATCCTCATCAAGCAGACTCAAACTTTCTGAGAAAGTTTGGAAGATCCTTCGAGGAACCCGACTGTTTAATTTATTCCTCATTTTGTTTGAGACGAAGAGAGAGAGAGAGAGAGAGAGAGGGTAGAAGGGGGTAGTCCAAAATGTTCTTACCGAGTTTTATAAAATAATTACTGTTTTTTTTTCTTTTTTTTTTTTAACAAAATATGTTGAAATATTTGTACATATTCCAGACAATTATAATAATATATATTTATATATTTGTTTATCTGTTTATTTAAACATTGACGTGAATTATTAATATAGTTACATATTGTAACCATTGTAACATAATTAGAATAAATATAGAAACATTAACGACAATATAAAAAATAATTTATAAATATAATACTGATATAAATAAAATAATAATATAAATATAAATAAATATAAATTTTAATTTAAAATATATAATAAAAGAGAAAAAAATACCAATATATTATATGTACTATATTATATGTACTTGGAAAGAAATATAAATGATCGATTACTTGATCATTAAACGACATAATAAAACGACGTATGAATTGTGGCCAAAGAAAAAATCTAAATTTTCGTTTATTACCATCGTTCTGCATCGTCGATGAAGCATAGTACTACCAGTCATCGCTAACACACTTTGGCCATTATTTTCATTGCTCGTCGATGCCAGACAAAGCTCATACATACACACATATGTATTGTAACAAACGTGTTTCGAGTTCTCGTTTAATTGATCCAACCGTAATCTGGGACGAGAGAAGCTTTTCATCCCTTTCTTTTAACCCTTACCCCATTCTCTTTCACTTCCCACCGATCTTTCACACGTAGGAATACTTTTAAACAGAATATTACACACAGGGTGAACCCAAAAAAAAGTTTCCAAGTCATATTTAACAATTCATTACTTTGTTTTTTTTTGTTTTGTTTTTACCAAACTTACGTTTATTTATATTTTATATTTTGTTGAAATTACTTAACGTTGATAGAAGCCTAATTGCGAACTTAAAAATGTACTTAAGAACTCGTAACTCGTTTCAAAAGTTTTAAATCACTCCGTATCGCGGTTTTGTTAACCGAATAAATAAATGAAAAATATGATAAAACGATTCGAATTAATGATTTTTGAATTTTATCCTACGTCCTTTATTCGAAAATGAAAAAAAAAAAAAAAAAAGAAATGAAATGAAGAAACGAAAAAATAATACAAACTACGGAAATTAAATTCAACTTTATATACAACCGAACCCCTTGTGACATAGTCGTTGAATAACCAAAAGAAAAGAAAATGAATGAATAAAAAAGTATGGTAGAACAAAAATTTGCTTGTTACAATGTCGATGCAATTAAAAAAAAAAAAAAAAAAAAAAAAAAGAAAAAATATGTCATGTATCCATTTTTTATGACAAGAGGAAAACCGTTGCGAGTATCCTTGTGTGGGTTTTAGTCGTCCAGTGAAAATTCGTTTTGCTACAAACCAACCCGTTAAAGCCAGATTTTGCATAGCTTACAAGTTTCCTATACACAGGGTTTGTGGGTGATAGTATAAACAGAATGAGAGAGGGAAATAGAGAGAGAGAGAGAGAGAGAGAAAGAGAGAAGGGAGGGGGGAGGGGTGCATAAGGGAAAGGTAGAGAAAGCTTTATGGTTCAACTCCCTGTTACATATTGTATTCCACTTGACCTATGTGAGTGCAGCTCGTTTTATTACGAGGCCGCATTGCGTTCCCGTAATACCTATATTTGAATCTCTTTGAAGTGTGACACGTGTACTGCACAACCTTGCACAACCCCCTCACCTACTACTATTACTATTGTAAGAAATTAATACTGCAAACATTAACTAATTATATTAATTACATTAATTGATTTAATTATTTTCTAAATTATTTATAACGTAGTGATTTATATCAATGTATTATATGTTCATATCAGTGATTTATATGTTGTTGTATACGCGTATAGATAAGATTCATGATTGCTGTGTGAATAAAGTTTGAAAGAGGACAACGTGGATGATATTCTTCACTCTTACACACACACACACACACAATTCCAGTATATTTTTCTATTTCGAGGATGGTTTTGCCATGAGGCTATATCTGACATGAGTAACATAAAGTAAAAGCAGAATGATAGAAATAAAAGAAAAGAAAAGAAAAGAAAAGAAATAAAGGCTTTTCAGTAGATAAGAAAGGGAAGGAAGGAAGGAAGGAAGGAAGGTAGGAAAAAAAGGGTAGACGGATCATCATCCTCTTCTCATTTTTTTCCTTTTTTCTTTTTTTTTCTTCTTCTTTTTCTATCTCAAACGCGAGAGAGCGTATCGTTGAAGAAAGCTTCGAGTGTATGCTTGCATTATAGGATATCTCGACATTATCGTATTCCTTGGGAGTTTTCAATAGACCACTCACCCCTTCCTCCTCCTCCTCCTACTCCTCCTCTCTTTCCATTCGATATAAAATGATCCTTGGAAATGAGAAAGTTAAAAGAAATAATAAAAGAAAGGAACGATCAAATGTGATGAAATGACGATTTATTATAGATAATGAATTTATCGTACGATTGAATAATGAAAATATATTTATTTCATATATATATATATATATTTTCTTTTTATACGATCAAAAAAACACACACGTAACGATATTTATACTTAGCTGTCTTTTCTTTGGACAGAATGATATATTAAAAGATTCATCCCCACACCCCCATGGGTTTTTCTTTCTTTCATTTCTCAACTACTTTTCCCGTAATCATAAATAATATTATCGATTCGGAGTAAAAAAGAATTGATTCTTTTGTTATAAATTATTTTGTGGAATAATTACAATAGCAAATATTTTCTATTAAAATAATTTGAAATTGTCAATGTTACATAAATTATTCAGATTTACGCGTGTTATTCTCTCTCTGTTTTGATTAACATAAGATTATTACGTCTCACGTCCAACGTTATTTTCCCTATTGAATCTTTGTAGTATCCCTTAAGATTAATTGGATAATGTTAACTATATATTCGTCTTAGCAATAATATGGGAGAGATAAGACAAAGATTGGATGAAACAGGGACGTCTAAACAGATTAATCTTTCTAACGAAACTTCTTCTACATATACCTTCTTTGATAAATCGTTATTTTTCTTATCCAATTTTCTTTAACAATTGTATCTCATTACTTTATTAATATTATTATTATTAGTTAATTTTTTCTAATATAAAAAGAAAAGAAAAAAAAACAACCAATATATTTAACATCCTAACAAATAATTGTCCATATATTTTCTATTCTCGTTGAAATAATAATTGGAAAAAAAAAAAAAAAAAAAAAAAAAAAAAAANTAATTTTTTCTAATATAAAAAGAAAAGAAAAAAAAACAACCAATATATTTAACATCCTAACAAATAATTGTCCATATATTTTCTATTCTCGTTGATCTCGGCATTAAAAAAAAAAAAAAAAAAAAAAAAAAAAAAAGAAACAACGAGTAATGTTTTTTTTTCTTTCGTACATTGAAATTAGGATAATTACTAGCTCATAGTTTTCAAAACCATGGCATAAGAAATGGCCGAATAAATGGAATCGCAAAAAAACTTAAGATTGATAGTACCGAAAGTACCGACGGCTATTTTCATAGGTTTTTGTGCCCTTTGAACTACGAATGCAGCATCTTTGGTTACTCTAATGTTACCAGATTTCCAAGAATTAGCTTCGATGGCCATGCTAACGGTCAAACTAGAACCATAAATCATTTCTCCGCTATAACAATTGATGAACAATACCGGGACCATTGCTAAAAGTACTACGATCATTTTCATCAATGTCAAAGTATTTGCTATCTGAAATGAACAAAAAATATATAATTCTTATATATGAGCCGTTTATTTTGAAAATGGAATAAGTCACTTTTTTCTTTTTTTTTTTTTTTTAATTGAAAATGAAAAGATACCGTTCAGTTGTAATTAGTGTTGCCATTAACTTGGTTTTTTAGAAAAAGTAACTTATGCCACTTTCAAAATAAACAGCTCATATATATCATTTCTTTCATATGTTCATAAAAAAAAAAAGAAAACAAAAAATCGTTTAGATATTTTTTTCCTATTACTTATATTATCGTTATCTCGTTTTATTCTTTTTTTCTTCTTTTGTTTCTTTCAATATTCTCACGAGAAACAAAGAGAAAAATCTTCTAATTAAGAAAGGGTTTGAAAAAGAGAGAGAGAGAGAGAGAGAGAAAGCACAATGACTAATCTCGTTTTCCCGTTCGACCCATACCGTGATCCCATCTAATCTCTTTCGTAATTAGTCGATTGGCTTATAGGTTGCCTCTACGAGCACCATTAATTGATTCTACGAGCCGGTTGAGCTTTCAGCTTTCAACCCTTAAGCTTCCGACTATTCTCGATTATATTCTATATATATATATATCTACATGTGTTACTCCTTAATTTTTTATTATTATTACTATTATTATTAATCTTACATTTTTATCTTACAATTGTTAGTGTTGTTGTTTAATTAATTGAACGAAGTTGACTGAATAATTAATAATAAAACGACCCTTTTTATTTTCGGGTTAAATAATGATTCTTCTTAATTGTTCCTCGTTTTAATCTAATGAACTATGTTTCTCAGACGATCTAATCGCATCGATCATAAAGCTTTTTGAAGGTTGTTGTATAGGTAAAGAACTTAGACGTGACCGATTAAACAGGAACAATCACGGACAACTTGATGAAGCATTTGAAATTTGACGATCAATCAAGATCATAATGTAGAAGCAAAATAACGTGCTTAGGAAGTTAGTGACTCGTAGAAGAATGTATGGTTAAAACAAGAAAATTTGTTCACGTGTGCGTGTATACGTGGGTGGGTGCGTGTTGAAAATCGATCAATAATTTTTCTCTCCTTCTCTCTCGTTATTCGTTCAAAAGAGGGGGGGGGATGGTAATTAATATGGCCGGATTATTAAATATTTTTCAAATAGAAATTTTACTCTCTATGCTCGAATAATTAAATGAGTGAATTCGATCGAGGGAAAATTGATTCGCGCGCCAGAAAAAAAAAAAAAAGAAGTTAAATAAAAAAATAAATGATTAGATAAACTTACGGTAAAGGAAATGTAACAAGCCAAACAGATTGTCATCGAGCAAATGCAATTTTGACCGAGATACATAACGGACAAAGCGTTGCATAACGTTTCTCCATAATTAAGGGAAGAAACGTGCTGTTTAATGACATCCCTCAGACTGCATTCATCGTCACCGTATTGTTGCAACAAGGTGGCTGTTCTATGCAAATCGTTGCACAATTGACATACGAATAATATTAGTATCACGTCGCAAGCCAATGTATTTGATACTGCTAATAAGGTCAACATTATTTCCATCACATATATCAGCTGATACCTTTAAAATATATTATTATTATTATTATTATTATATATTATATTATATTATATTTATTATTCCTATTCGATTTATTCGAAGTGTAGGAAAAAGTAATGGAAACAAAAGGGATGAGATGAAAGAAATAGAGAATGGTTACTAAGCAAAGGATCGTTTGTAACTTTTTTACGAAATCATTTTTTCGTTTTGTTCGACTGAAAAAAAATTCTAATTTGTCCAATTGGATTTTCTCTCGAGCTGACAAAAGTTAACAATACATTGGTAAACCTATCGAAGTACAAAATTCGATAACAAAGGGATACCCAACAATGGAGACTTTCTTCTAATTTTTAATGCATACTAATATTGTAACTTTTGAAACTATTTTTAATATGTTTTTATAAAAAAACATTGTTTTATATAGATTTTACATATTAAAAAATACTAACCACGGATCTCGAAAAAAGATCGGAGGAAAGTTTCCTTGGAAAGGTAAATTCCTACCGGATAAATACAAGGGTGATACTATGAAAGTAATAGTTAAGATAATATAAACAATTGCGAGAAATTTCGTAGCCATTTCTCGTCTTTCCAACCAATAATCTGCCATCCTTCCTCTTTCCTTTTTGATTAATAATAATAATATAATATCCCTGGAAAAAATATTTCTAATTTACTATACCTCGAATTAAGCTGATCAAATACTTGGCTCACTCTGCTTATATATATATATAAACATTCGAAAAATAGTTGAATCAAATTATTGTCAAATGAATTGATTTCATTGGAAGAACAAACCTTTTTAAATTAAATGCCATACATTTAGATAACATCAAAGACCATCCAACAACACTAACCGATGATCTATTAGTTGATATTTAAACAAATAAAAGAATTCAAAGAAAAATGTTAGAAATGTTAAGAAAACTATTCTTTGTTTTTATGACGTAGAATATGCATATAACAATGATTGAATAATTAAACAATAGAACTAACTCGGAAAAAGCAATGGTGTCGCCAACAAGAGTTATTTGCGCAAATATCACAAATATTGTACCACAAAAAATAAGAAAAACCGAAAAATATCCTTTCCACAATGACAATTTGTAATTATACAAACTTTCCCTAGGCCAAAAGCCAAACATTTGTAAAATTAATCTGGTAGATTTTAAAATCTCTTCTACTTCTTCCATACTATTTTTTATCATTATTATTAATTATTATTATAGAAAATTATTATCATAGATATACGATCACTCAAATACAACACAACTGACGAACCTAATTCATCCCACATTTGTTCTTTGCTTTCAAAATTCTGTTTGAAACATTCTATGAAAAAGAAATAAAGAAAAGAAAAGGAAATTATGCGAAAAGAATCAGAAGCAAATTAATTTATGAACATACCCTAATCGATACAAAATAATCGTCTAACTGTTATATTTATTTGATCTTTTTTCACGAACGATGATTACAAGGCATAAAATAATTCTTCTTCTTCTTCTTTTTTTTTTTTGTAGGTCATCTATATGCATTTGGTTCTTTGTATTAATAAGTTAGGAATAGAATAAAGTGTTTCTAATGCATAATTTAAAAGTACTGAATAGAAAAGAACGTAATGGTTCGTACGAATTCTCATTTGATATTCCTTACGATAGATAAATAACACTTCCGTTTCCTTTTTCTTATCGTAAACGCATATGTATGTTTGTTTGTAGCCTCTTGCATCTTTTAGTAAAGACATTTTTTTTTTTTTCATCGTGGTATAAACGGAATTTTAAATTATAAGGAAAGAAAAATATAAATATATATATATTACTTTTTTTTCTTATACGAATAATAAATTTAGTTATAAAGTGTGCATAAAAAAGTAAATTCGCGCGTCAAGAGAAAGGAACGATAATTCTTTGCTATTAATTATTTATTTAAATTTATTATGAACTCTTTATGCGATAATGAAAAGAAGAAAGCAGTGATCAATCGAAGAGATTTGATTGAGATTTGTTTAATTTTTTTTTTTAATTTTTATTTAATTTATTCTGTATATATTGTTTGTATAATTTTACCCACACTTACAACTTTTTAGTAAATTCACGAGTGTATCTATCAAATTTTCTACGAAAGGGAAGAAGGTACAAAAAAAAAAGTATGAAGGCTTCGCAATGCTCCGGTATTTTTTACCCTTTACTCTATTTCTTTCTTTTTTTTCTTCGCATATTCAACCATGCGAGATGCATACGTAGGTGCAACCCCTCTTGACCCTCTCCCACATCCCTCGAAGCGAATCCACTCTTGTTTATTTTACTCACTACCAGGAAAAACTTGACAAAAATGTGATATCATAAATAATTGAAAATAATTTCCTTTTTTTTTTCTTTTTGTTTTTTTTTTTTTTTTTTTTTTTTTTTTTTTTTTTTTTTTTTTTTTTTTTTCTTGTCCAGAAAAGGACCCTCGATGATCCTTGGGAAGATCGATGAGAAATCGAGCGAGATAAAAAGAGAGAGAGAGAAAACAAAAAAGAAAAAGAACAAAAGTAAGAGAAGAAATATGACGAAGAAAAGTTGGCGAATTTTTCGTAAGATTTATTACCTAGGCTCTAGCGAATTTTTGTCATGATAAGAAAACGTGACGATTTTCGCGTTTCACTTGCATTTCCGATGAAACGATTTTCTTTTATCTTCTATTCTTTTCTTTTTTCTTTTTACAACAAATTCGTGTTTCTACGATTATTTTTTATGATCTTTCTTTAAACATTATAACATATATATATATTCGTGTTATTTATTTTTCGTAGGAAACATTTAAGATAGATTCGAATTAAATCGCGAGTGAAAAGTTTGTATGTTTGAAGAATAAGAGAAATATAAAAAGAAAAAGAAAGAAATAAAGGAAGTCGTAAAATATCAGGAAAAGGGGAACGTTGCATGATTTTCTCGACAAAATATTGTATTACTAAACACGTAGTTGACCTAGATTTAGGTACACGTTCCAGTTACTACCTAGGCAAAGCGTTCTTCGTTTCGTTAAATAAAACGCACACCTACGTGATACGAATTTCTCTTTCTCTCGAAATATTCTGAAAAAAAAAAAAAAAGACACGGAACGCGATTAAAACACGATTATTATATTTATTAACGAGTGTAATTTCTAACACTAGAGAGATAGATCAGCTTATAAATTATCCCGAAAAATCAGGTGGGATGCTGCTATTCCCCCTGGATAAAACGGAATCCTAGAAGGACGAAGTAATTTCTTTTCTTGGAAAAATTTCCTCCTGTCGTCAAAAAGAAAAAAAAGGGCTATTAATCTACCGGTAGTAGGGTTGTAAAATTCTGAACTAAGCAGGACGAAGGTTACATCAGAGTTTAGTCAAAATGAAACGAGTAGTTAGCTCACAGCAATCGAAAGGAATGGTAAAAGGAATGACGAAGGGGGTGGGCGGGTGGATGACGTCATTTCCTGTTTGAGAACATACAAACTATAACAACTATTACCTCATTCTATCCTTGCAAACGTGGAAGCTTGGAAGATTTAGTTCTTATAGTCCAAGTAGTTGAGAAAATGTGTGCATTCACGGTATAAAAAAGTTAAGATCATTTCAATGCCTTACGAACCTATTGTAAAAATACCTATTTAACTGTAACGAAATGATATTATAATACTTGTGCAAAAAGATTTTCTTAACTTTCTACGATAAAATTGTATTAATTGTTTCGTCAATATATTAAACACGATATAGCGAAGGTAAAATATTTCTATCGTATAAATTGATTTGGAAATATTTTATTATTTAGAAATATTTAGGAAAAAAGAAAAAAAAAAAAGAAAAGATAAAAGAAAAAAGTAGCGAAAAAATTGTGAGATATTTGGAATAAACAGATACGGGGAATGATCATTCTAATAGAACTATCTAAAACTTGGAGTAACTTCCGTTGTTAAAGAGCATCTAAAGTTTTCTCTCTCTCTCTCTCTCTCTCTCTCTTTCTACGACCTTTTGCAATTAAACTCACTTCCGACTTTAAGCACTGGACAACCCTTTGCGAGTCCTTCGTAAACATGACTCTAGCAACGATGTGGTGGTTTACTCGAGAACCGGTGCTTCGCTAAATTACAACCAATTAAACCATATGACTTTCTTGTTTTTTCTTTTTCCTACCAACAGTTTTGCGTGTGTATGTGTATGTGTGTGTGTTTCTGCTGAGGGTAGAAAAGTCTTACTTATACACATATAAGTAAGTTACTTCATACATATATATATATATATATATATATATATATATACATGTATGCGCATACGTAGCTCAAGGCAACAACGTAACTCTTAAACTTCTTTCATAGCGACGAAATGAGATACAAAATTTACCAAAAAGAATAAAAAAGAAAAGAAAACGATGATAAAGATGCCTCTACCCCCCCACCCCCAAAAAAAAATAAAAAAAAATTTCAAACCGGCAGTAACGCGTCTCGACTTTTTTTCACGAACGTTTAAACAATTGTAGAATTAAAAGAAACATGAAAATCTTTTGATAAATAACTACAAAAGATCATGTTACAATTGACATTATTCGTTTTGCGGCGAAATTGGAATAGGAAAAAAATGTATTACCGCGAAAAGCAACGCATTGGATTTGAAGATTAGATCGTTAACAAAATTATAATTAAATAAATAAATGACAAAAAATGAGAGGGGTGAAGTTAAAGGAACGAGTGCTCGCTTGCTGTAATATTGACAGTTATAGAACCTACAGTTTTTCTCAATCAACCAATTGAGGGAGAGAGAGAACAGATTTTTTGTAATATTTTTTTCTTGTCGTTTAAGGGTGCTGCCGTTTAAAGGGGTTTTTATCGCGAAACGATGAGGCTTCGGTAAATTCATTTTAAAATCGGCTTAAAGGAATGCCCACCTTAAACGTCGACGAAATCGATTGACGTATCGAAGTCATTGAGAAGCATTTTAAGTTTCTCTCATACACACACACACACAATACTTTTTCTTTAGGATTAAGTATACGCATTCACACGGACTTGAATCATGTTCCTACAGTTCTTTCTCCTACACTTTGGGTAAAGGATTATACTTTTCTTATATATTTCACTCTTTTTCCTTCCTTATTCCATTCCCGCATCCAGCCTACTTTTATCCATAGCTGAATGAAAGAAAGGCTAACACGAGATGAAAAAGTAGCCCTTTTAATATCGTCTTAAGGCTTACTCGAGTGAACGGATGTACCGAAGTAATACAAAAATATCTTACCAAAGAATAGTCAGGAAGGCCGTCCTCCGATTTTTTTCAAATTTTTCAAAGTGGTCTATCAGAATATTCCATTTAAATATTTAGAGCTACATTTATTACAGAATATAAAATAACAATGAATATGTATAATAATTAATTTTCGTGTGTGCCTTCAGAAATGCATGTATAAATTGTATTAGAAGCTCAAGTAGAAGAAAATCAAAAAACAAATAGATAATAAATCCATTGATGATCACCTGTAACAAAAAGAAAACTATATTAATCATTGAATCAAGTAATATAATAGCCTAACATGTATAAGTGGTCCAATTCACAGATGCACTTTTTATTTGATTTCCCTATTTATATTTATTTAA